CGTTGCCGCCAAGGTCGACATTATTTAGTACCGCTAACAGTTCCGCAATCCCGCAAAAATAAGAGTTTGGCTTTCTAAAAGCTTTAAAAGTCGTTTCCGAATATCTGCCGTCAATATGGCAAATATTCATCCACTGCAGGGCTTGCATATAGGTGGCCATGCAGACGTTAAAACGTCTCATTTTACGCGAGTATTCCATAATGGCTCGACCAGCCAGTTGATGCCAGGCGTAGAGAGAGTTGCCAAAATTCCAGAATAAGGTTTGCACATCGTCCTTACTCGGTGGGGGTGGGGTGGTCTGGGCGGGACATTGTGGGGGAGGAGCGGCTCGTTGAGGGTCGAAACACCCCTGCGTGATTTTCCCGATACGATCCGTTTCCTCCTTAAAGACTGAGGGGTCGATGTTTTTGCGGGTAAGGTCTTCCATCGCATCGTCAAAGAGCCAGAGCCACATGGCAAACTTGATGGCGATGTCCATCTCCGGAGAGGTCACGCTACACAAGGGTTACCATAACAGATGTAGTATATTGAGGCGAGGGCTGTCTCCTTGTAATAATGTGGATTTTGTTGGACATCGGGAAAGTAGTCGCGACACCAGAGGAGGAGAGCGTCCACCAGCCGAGATAAAGTTGCAGGGCAGATTGGATCTTGTTCGAGGGGGCAGTCAATCCTGGTGAAGTAGGAGCTGACCGATTTGGGCCCAAACGCCTTGTGGTTCACGCACCTGAAGAGGAATTCGACCTTTGCGCCAGACATCTGAATCATACATGTTAAAAAAATATTTATTCATTCAAAGTTCGCTCATTCAAAGCCTTGAAAAAAATATTTATTCCTTATTCAACATTCATAATTTGTAAAAAAATATTCATTAATTATTCAACATTTATTCATTATTCATTCATTCCTTCATTATTCATGTTATTCAAAATTCACAGTATTAGATGAATTTCTTAACTTTCCCTATGTATTAAGCATTGATTTAAAAATGAATGATGAAAAAATATTCATTCATTATTCATTCACACGAATTGAATAGATATTCACTCAATATTCATTTATTCAACAATCAGAATAAAATATTCATTAAATATTCATTCATCATAAAATGAATGAATGTGAACATGTATGATCTGAATACATATACAAGATGTGGGAGAGGTTTTAAGTTAATCATAATTTTTTGAGCGACCCTGATCATTTAGATTTTTAATGGTTAAAAATGTTAATGAATGTAAATGGGACGAATATTATTTAAATTCTTTAATAATTGAGGTATCCAAATGTTCGTGGATACGGATGTATGTATGTATGGAAATATGTACATTAGCGTAAATCCAGTTTTGATTTTTTTTATCACCTAAAAACTTTCCCTGTAATTTTGTAAGTCCACGTGTCTAAGAAAAGGCAGTGATTTTATGCACTTAATGGTTTTTGTTTTATATTTTCATCATGTGTGGAAATGCACATGTATACATTTCCACACGATTCACGAAAAGATTGATGATTCACGATTCAATATTTTGCTAGATTTTGTAGACTATGAAAAATGTAGGTTGTATTTTGCAGTGCAGGGTACAATGCCATCATATTGACGTGAAGACCCCGATTCACATAAAAATGCTTTCACTTTGGTCAAACTTGGTTGAATTTACGAAGATCAGAGCTACGTTCCCTAGCATATTTACCCTAATTCATGAGTGCATTAATTTCTGAATTCTGCGTATATTATTTATTAGATTTAAACTCAGATAAATTAAGAGAACTCACCGTAAATCCTGGAAATTAATTCTTGAAAACTCCGCAGAAATCTCTGTACGATTCCTGTCAACTTAATTAGAAGGTTTATGAAGTGAACATTTGTATGATAAAAATTCATTAACCTCTTTCGGACTTCCAATTTTTAAATAAAATTTCCCTTTAGTACGATTTAAAAAAAAATAATTATACCTGATAGCAATTAAAATTTCCTACCACTTTGCAAAACTCGAGTTTTTGACGAAAAACAGAAAAGCACACTTTTTAACATTGGTCGGTATAGGGAAAATTCCAAAATTTTGGGTGAAAAATATCGAAAAAATCCACTTTTCATCATCGAGTTTTCCAGAAAATACCGAAGAAATATTCTTTTTTTAAAGAAATTTTGGTGTCAAGGAAATTTCTGCAGTACACACATTTGTGTATTTCGTCATGAACGGAAAAATATAATACTACACAAATGTGTGTACTTCGCCGTGAACGGAAAATAAAATAACTACACAAATGTATGTACTTCGTCGTTAAGAGGTTAAAGCATTAAAAATTTCTATGGTTTTGCACTTACGGAAATAATTCCAGATATTTTTCTTGCTTTCCAACTGAATATTTCCAGCACCTGCAAAGTCTAGACTTGAGAACGCACTGAACCAAATCCGAGTCCTGGATGGCTACATAAATTTATTTTGGTCCGGTGTCATTGTACCATCTATTTGTTTGACAGTGCTTCGTCAGAGAATGCCTGAATTTAATTTAATTTTAAATTTAAGATAATCAATCAAAGGGATTAAATCAAAGGGATTAAATCTATTTGGAAATAAATTTGAACTAATAATTTTGTTTTGTAAATAATTTCTGTTACTCAATAAGATTCTTGTACATTGTATAATTAGTTACGTGCATGTGTATTCTCCACCACGAAAAGCTGACCCGTATTTAAATATGTCAGAATAAATTCGTATAATTATATACATAATATGTAAGCAGAACCGTGAATGTGCCCGTGGTTTTATTGAAATGATACCAGAGACCTACTCCAAGTAACTTTGTGGGGCCTTTTAAGATAGCATTAATACCATCTTGGTAGTTAATGGCAACACATTTGGGTGGAAATGACCCCCACCGGTCAACCACTTGGCCGATCATGCCCATCTCCGAACTCATCCTTACTTTTGACCCGAAGATTAATAAGTGTGCAAAATTTCAAGTCGATTGCTTGTGTTTAACGAGAGTTATCCTGCGCACAGACGGATGCACAGACGGACGGACGGACGGACAGACATCTTGGTAAATCTATAAGGCCATCTTAAAAGGCCTAAAATGTTAGAAAACAACTTTCGAACAGATTTCATGAAACCCTGGTTGCGTCTAATAATGGCGTCAAAGCCTTGTCGATTAGTCCAGATTTATGATTCGGAAATCTTACTTGGCTCCATATTACTAAAAATTCCAACCATACTTGTATCGCTTCCGCTTTAAATGTAAACTGTGATGTGAGTAGGCTGCTTCAACTATCAAGGAAAAGGCAAGGGAATGCGGTGTGAGTGGTTTTAATATTTTTTGCTCATTCCACTTTTACCAGTTTTTCGGAATCCTCCATTTCCTTAATTTGCGTATTTATTTAAAGGCTTGGATGGGACAGACATGTGTGCGTTCTTGTAAAATGCGACAGAAAAAAAATTTTGACAATTTCGATGCCGGAAGAAAATGCACCAGACATGTAACAAAAATGTTCCAATTTATTCTGGAACATTTGTACATAAATGGTTAGTACGAATTAATGAGACAAAATTTTACATGTAAAATTACAAATATTTCACAAAACTCGACAATCTGTGCATATGTATGTATGAACATCATTAATTACCTGTCATTGAAAAATACTATACAGCTAAAAATTCCACACATCCTTCGGCGATCAGTTTATGTAATTTTGTGTCTGAGATTTTTTTATTTGATTTTTTCCCGAGTTCCAGGCTGATTGTCTTCAATCTTATTTGAATTTGAATTTAGTTACTTCATGTTACGTAGCAGAGGGATGTCTGTAAATTGTGTGACCGAAAAATCCCGATTTTTATACATATATAGCCTCTTCTCTTTGGTGAAAATGGTCCTGCATAGAATTGGCCGGTTTTTATGCATGGAATTTGTGCGTATAATTATGCCAAATTATGCACAACTTGCTAAGATTGGATACATAATTTGTATATAAAATTTTCCACATAAAAAGTTAACATTTGTAAACATAACAATATGTAATAAATTATGCATAGTTTTTTATACCTAATGCAATATGCATAAATTCTTTAGAATTATGCAGAATTATGGATGTGTTATATACATAAAGTGACTATGCATAAAGACCAGCCAATTCTATGCATGATCATTTTCACCCAAGCTTCTTACGTATATGTAACGTTGATTTCACGATAACTGAATAAATCATCAATAAATTAACATGTGCAAGATTCAAAAGCTTCCCTTGTTCCATCAACTTGTTACTAGAAGTTCATATAACTAATTTGTAAATTTTACCAGACTTAGCGTTCTCAAACAATTAAAACTTTTCCACGAGTTCAAGTTTTCAAGATTTTTGACAAGTTTCTGACAAGCATTAAAAAATTCACGAATTCATCATTTGCATGGTTGTTTTTTTTCATTTTTTTATAACATTAGAAATATTTTAGGTTTTAGTTAAGCAGAGGAAATGGACTTGAGGTTTTATTTGATTACATACTGCATTGCGTCCAAAGGACGTTGAACGCCCAACCATGTTGAGCGTTGGGTTTGCTATGATAGCAAAATGCTCGTTGGTTAGATTATCCCAATTTTTTGATTTGCTGCACATCTCGATTTTCTCAACACAATTTAAATTAAAGGCAAGGTCAAAATTAACCTCTGTGACCTTCTAGGGTTAAAAAGTTTGAGGGTCAAGTTACTTGATTTGCCCATGAATGCGGTATAGTGGGAAATGTGATATCAATAGGATTAAGCATATACGAGGGGTGCTCAATAAATAGTGCGAATCTTTATGTATCTACAGGGTTTGATAAACAAATTTGGACAATAATGTTTCAAATGCCTTCACCTCCATGCGAACGATTTTAAGACAATTTGCGTACACGATTTTCGTCGCACAGTGTAGTATAAAAATTCAGTTTCAATAAGAACGATCAAAGTAGCATTTGAATATGGTAGTGAGGACTAAGGTACCCCATACTCAGGAAAAAACAATATAGAAATTTTTACATTACGCCAAGAATGTGAACAGGGGTAAAAGTCAATTTTTTTTAATCCGCTTACATTTCTTTCCGAATATGTGAGGTCAACACTAGTACGCGGGCATATTCATAAATATGTTCCAAATATGTTGATCTTTGCTAGCAACAAAAACCCGCAGGAAAAAATAATTTTCATATACTTTATCTGTCACAAGTCAAGAAAACGACGTTTATGTGTCTTTTGTGTCTCCCATTGCCGTACGGCCAACCCAGTCAAATTTTGTTTTCCAAAATATTTTTTCTTCAAGAAGCTTCAACTACTTGTCTAGCAATGTACAATTCAAATTCTTGAACATTCTTGCAAGAAAACTATGTAGAAACTGACAATCACAATGGAAAATTAAAAGTTTCGCATGGTGTAAGCATTTGATGGATTGAGGTTATTTTAAAAACTTTCGTGCAGGATGAGTTTTATAGTTTGGTCCAAAATTTCTTTTGTACTGAACGCATAAAAATATTGTGTTTCTCGCACATAATGAAAAGTTGTCAGGGACGATATATCCAACCAGGTAATCATGAAAATCTTGCTTGTGTTGCTTCTATATGTAGTATTTAGGTACCGTGTTCGGTGCCAGCATCGCTCAATATTGAGCATACTTTCATGAAATAAATATCAAGTGACGATATTGAGATATTATGTAGATCGCGAAGGATTTATCAGGTGAATTTAAGAATGTTCATGATTAAAAGTTAATGACCGCGTGTCAACTCTTACAACGCATGGATATGTGCTCGTTTGTAAATATTTAGTAACTATGTAAGCTCACTAAAATATCTAATATTGGCCGACCTAACCCAGGAATTACTAACTTGCCTCTATTTACGATCATCTATTAAACTAGAAAATATAGCAAACCATGTTAATTTCATAAAACAAGTTTCGTCTCCCCTTCTACATATTTACATTTCAGTGTCTATTGTTTCCACAAAACATTGCCGGAACGTGTCGGTGGCTGCCAACATTATTAATATTTTACGGATCCTAGGAGAACATTTTAATAAAATTGGATACACAAATGACCCGTATGCATAAGCGTATCAGTCTTTGCTTCATGGTGACGAACGACCCACATGCATAAGACGACTACGCATCCCCGTGTCTTTTTCTTATTCAAGAAAAATGAACTTTACAAAACTGTTCAAGCACTTTAAGTCCTGCATTATCTACTTTGAGAAGGCACGAATATTAAAGCTTCCGTACAAATGGGATAGAAAATCTGACAATGTTCGAAGCCAGAGGTTCGAAGCCACCTAATAGCTTACGGGATTTGGTGTTGTAAAAAGCTATAGTAACTTTTCGTATAATACTCAAGACCAAAAAAAGAATTATAATTTCCAATTGTTTTATTTACGTATGTCCGGGTAAACCCACTCATGTTAGCAATATTGTGATAAAATTTCGAATACTTTAACTACACAAAGTAGTGAGACGTTCGGTGGGCAGAAGTCCTACTTACATAATACATACAAATGCACAAACCATACTATAGTTATCGGTATGTTCCTCAATGAAGAAAATTGGCATCTTATATTATAAGCTGGAAATGTTTGTCTGAAACAGAAGTGAAAGTAATTTTCCGAAACGGAAGTGAAAGTGGAGAAAGATAAGTTTCGAATGGCCCGAAACAGACATTTCCAGCTAATTACATATGTAAATACCATAAAATTAATTATGTGGAATTATGAACAATCCCACGCAATTTTCATGATAAACCAAATAAACTCTCGCCCGGCGGGAGACGGGCTTAAACGCTAGTATTTTATAATCTTTCACAGATCAAGCCTTCCCGAAGCGCAAGATCGATCTGCTGATGAACTTCATGCTTTGGCCATTGATTCCTGCCACCTATTGCGCCTTAAGTTTGGCCATTCCCATCATAATCACCCTGAAACCGTGCATCCCACCGTTCAGGATTGATTTCTGTAAAAATGCGGCCAATCCATCAATTCCATGTTACTGGCCACTCCTTCTCATGGTTTGAATTCTACGTCGCACTTGAAGTCATGTCGGGGCGTGCTTCTACGTATTTGGACTCTTGACTGCAGGATTGCCATTGTCTTGAGCAATGTGACTATGCTGAGAGGTAAATTGTTTCAATTATAACATATTGTGGGGTATATTTGATGATAAAGTGATTGGATGTCTATTGATCGCGAGCGTTTTATCTAATTTAATCATGCAAAAGCTCGTAAATTGGGATAAAGATATGTACATATTTATAAGTTGTGGCATAGTTGCCATCAGGGTTGCAGAAATCTCATCTCATTTCACAAATCATATCTCATTGAGATATAATGAGAAATAGTGAGCATGAGAAATTTGAGATATAGTTGAGTTGTGATGTAGTGAGATTAAAAATCGTTTAAATATTCGATCACCATTTA